TGGGATACATCAACGTTGGTGAAGTGGCACCAACTCCGAGGGACCAAGCTTTCTCGCTTTATTTTGCAGGGGTGACTCGAACCGGTGGCCAAGCAGGCCGAGGTGATGTAATCGATACGTCGTGTTCTCTGTTTAGTGATTGTTTGTAGCACCGCATAAATATCAAAACTTTAAAAATAAAGAAAATTGCGTTTTAGTTATAAATTCATGTTGAATGTGATTTCTAAAATCACATAAAAACGGACATTCTTGCATCTAATGGAAACCATCTAAACTGAAATTCAAGGGATTGACCATGCAGGAGCGGATGGATCGGCAGAGTGCGTAGCAGGAAAATAAACTCAATGCCCCGTGGGGCGCACACATGGGATTATGGTAAATGACAAGTGGAGGACCAGTAAGGCTAAAGAGTAGCCAAGTTAATACTCGACTGATCTCTTCGCACTCTTCCCTCCTCTTCTCTCAGCCCTTCTTTGGCAAACCCAGTTAAACGGGTCGCGATTTAAACCTACGAATGCATATTCAAGATACGAATATTTTAAATCCAACGAGGATTACTCAACGAGAAGGGAAAATGAATAGTGGGTGACTGACGGTGCGATGATGAGCAAGGAAAAGTGAGAGCTTCAAAAAATCTCTTTTAAGAGACTCATTCCGAAAAATTCTGATAAGAGGGAAAAATACCTTCGGTGTGAAAAATCCCGATGAAAAACTCGTGAAAATTGCGTTAAGGGAATGAAAACTTGAAGTTGGTTCTTTTTCTTTTTATCATATCGACAAGCAAGTGAAAGAGGAGGCGAGAGAGATACAGTGTAGCGGCCATTGCCGCAGTGTTGAGGGATTAAAGGCGATAAATTTCGCAAAAATGGGAGCTTAAGCTGTCTCGCGAGGGCGACAGTCTAATCCGAGGCTCGCGCTTCTCGTTCGCGAAAAGATAGGGGTACCAGGATAATTTCAAGAGGCGGTGTCGTTAGATAGTAATGTACTTTTTGCAATTGTCTACTCCCTTTTTCAATCGCGGAATACACTATTGACGACTTTCCAGAATCGTTTTCTCCTTACTCTAGCTATAAATTCGCAGAACTAGAGGGTCTTGGGAGAAGTAATTTTTTTCCAATGAACTAGATAAGGGAAAGAATGTCAAGTTAAGGTTGAAAAGAGTAAGAAAATGGAGTACTTTTCAGTCGCAATTCGAGACCATAAGCTGTAGAAACAAGAATGGGTGACTTCATCTTGTAAGCGTGGGAGGCTTTTCGGCCATTCAGTGGTTTGCGCACAATGGGACGCGCATCAACATAATTACAGTTCGCTCTGTTCTTCGTTCTTCGCTAGCCAGAAGCGTAAGAGCGAATAGAGGATGGGCAAGTGAGTGAAAGAGAAGAGTGGACGGGGCCAAGTGTATTATATTCAAATGTGAGCGCGAGGCGGCGCCAGTGTTGTGTGCGATGGGTTCCCGTGCCCGGGGGCGACTGGCAGAGGTTGAAGGTTGGGAGTTCGAGGTTGTCGACTAAGAGAAAAGGGACGTACGAGAGCGAGAGAACAGAGAAATGCCGCTTCGAGCCAGCTAGCGAGCCCCAGGAGAGGAAATTACGTCGTCTGGCTTGACCCCTCCATCACCTCTGAAGCGTTTCCTCGTCGGCCAAAAAATAAAAGAAATAGGCAGAGAATGAGATAGAACGTTTCAGCCTTTGACCACAAACAGATAGTATTTTCTTGCCCTTCATTTATGTCGCCTTTTTGCAAAAATTCTAAAACAACTTCACTTTTACTCACCCGAAACGCATAATTAAAGATGAAACATTTCAATGTCTAATTATACGAATTAATTATTCGAGAAAAGAAGACAATTTTAATTTTCTCTCATTTCAAGTATGAAAGTCACTTGCGTATTTGTCACCCCTTTCGAATAAAATTTCAAGTCTAAAATAAGGCGGGAAGTAACTGTAAAAAACTCTTCTGGAAGAACGAGGTGTAGCCATTGACTTTTCCAAGCGGCGGCGGCGGCAGTTGCCCTCGAGGATTTGTTCGTGCGGAAAAGTGCCGGTCGATGTATGCAAACGTCTCCTCAACGTCCTTTAGAGCCGATAGGGTGACAACGGGCGTGTCGTGTCGCCTTCCGGGGCAAAGTGCCAGTAGAATAAGAATTGTCGTTCAGGCAAGCCAGAACTGTTTTTCTTCTTTAATATCTCTTTTAGGTGGCCCACTTGCGACAGATAAAACTGTCTTACATAAGCACATGACCTTGATAATTCAAGGTCGATAACCGCACGCCGGAAATGTATGTTTCGGTCATCCGCGAAAGTTTTCCGTAAGGACAATAGATGTCAGTCGATTCTTCCTCCCGTTGAAGGCAAGATAGCAGATCTAAGTGGACCATGCCGCGCTATGGTTATTGCAACATAAAACGTTCTCCGCACAGTTTCAAGAGAGACGGTATACTGAGGAAGCCCCTTTATGACCGAAAAAACTGCCACTATGATTGCCTATGCAAATTGTTTAAGATATCCGTACCAGGGCCATTTTCAGTGTTGCGGTCATGATCAGCAGAGATTCTCAACCAAATCATTTCGCGAACCTTCTCTCGCAGAGCGCAAATATTTTCAATCATCTGTTTAACAAAAGCAGATGTACATATTTCTACATTCAAATTTACACATTCTGTTTTTCTATAAATCAGAAAGGTGCTTTAAAGTTGAAAATACTTTCAAGAAATTCAAATTTAATTTTCGCAAGTCCATAAAATAGTTTTTCTGTGCGCCTGGTGGACAGTAATGCGAGAATGGCATAAAGCATAGAGCTGGCAAATGTAATTCCGCAGAACGATTCAATTGATACAAGAAGACTATATGGTGCGGTGTCTTGATACCAGGAGAGTATAGGGAATGGAAAAAAGGAAAGAAGAGAGAAAAGAGTCTAAAGCAAGTCGTCGGAAACTGCAAGCTCGACGGATATATCTCCCGAGTAAATTAAAATGGATTATATATGTCGACTCCATCTTCAATCTTTCGTCCCTCTTTCCAGGTTTGGTTTATTACTTGCCAAGAACTCCAGCCAGCTGGATAATTGTTATTGCACAGAAATGAATTTGCACTTTTATACAACGCACAGCTCGATGCTGCATTTTATTTTCCTTCTTTGTCAAAATAAAAATGAATTCGTCACTTTTTTAAAATGAAATTCTGAATTATTGAAAAACATTTAAAAATAAACATTTTTATGTGCGTTTGAAATAATTTTTTGATATAGAAATAATTTCATGAGTTTAGCTTTAATCTCATGAAACGAAAGCCGAGAAAGACGTGGGGAATATCAGTGATAACTTTACGAGAAGGTCGAGGAAGGTGGCTGGTAGGCACCGAGTCGACCATGATGTATGCTTCCCTTCCGTCTAATTAAACTTCGGTAGAGTCACACGGGGTTGGTCGGCTGGGTAGACGAATTGCGAGGGTTGTTGGAGGCTGATTTTCAAAATGACGATTTCGTAGACGTTCAAGAGACGATCGCTAAAGACAACTCTATTTCACACAATTAGCAAAATTTATTGAAAGTTAAATAAAAATTATTATTATTAAGCTAAAAGTTAAATTAACATTTCTTTTTCATTGATTTCAGTACTTGGATCTATAAAAGAATATGAAGGTGTAGTTTCTAATGCGTCGAGAAAATTGCAGAATAATGTAATTAAAATATTTGCGGGCATCTCTCACACACAATATAAGCGTATATATAACATGGAATCCGCATAGCAGGAACGAAATTTAATCAAACCGGTGTGTCGGTAAATACGACATGGTGGAGGTCGGGCAAATATGCGCTAGGATAGAATTCCGCCTCCATCAAATTAATTTAATTTATATCTGGCTGTCCGAAACGGCTTGAAGATGCGGTCAGATCTCTATTCTCCCTCTTCATCTTTAGCCCTCTAGTTTCTCTTTCTCCACTGTCAATGCGAGACAGTCTGGTATTAGAGCGCGAGCCCTCATCCGCATGGGGACGACTATTGGCGCTTCACGACGGATTTCTTGGCGCGATTTGAAATACTTCGACAGGGTAGAAATTCCTCTGCGACAGCAAAAACGATTCTCTCGACCCTAAATAACATTCTCTGATTCAGATGGGAATTCAAAAAATGTAAATCTTGATTTCAAAAGAAAAGCATTCAATGAAAATTGGTTTCAACTTTTGTTTCTTCCGCTGAGTTGACAGTTTTCAAAGTTATTTCAAGGTCGATGCAACTGAAAAAATGAGAAATAATTGTCGAGAATTTTGTCATTAAATGTGAATTTAAATTGAGTGGAATGGAAAATATCGTGTTTTCCGGTGAAATCGAAGCTATCGGAAGTGGTGGACTTAAAGTGAAATCGATCGAACGTAGTTCCCACGTATAGCCAGTACACATGCATTAGAGGCAAGAACCCGCAGTGTATACCCACGTCATATCCAATTTGAGCGCTTTTAGTACACGCAGGGAGAGTTTTGTAAGGGGGTCGGTCACCTCGCCCCAGCCCCTCAAATACGACGATAATAGCATTAACTGAGCAGCAATATGATTACCGATCTCGCGAGGTAACCTGATCGTACTCGAAATTCACGTTACGCAATCGTGCAGGAACTCTTAATCGCGTTGCGCTTTTTGGAGGCTCAAATTACTCATGAATCATTATATGATTATGGATCAATAAAGGGACACTCCTTATCTCAACATTGTAAATTATATTTCAAGTCCCCCTATTCAAACAGTAAAGACTTCTAAATGACAAAAGATTTCTTTTTTCTTACTTGAGTGCTTCTGTTTCCATTGTCACTGAAAGCCTTAGATAAACGACTGGTTCATCTTTTAACCTATTCCTTGCCCTCAATTACCTTTGACACTAAAGTCGACTGCAGGTCTCGCGTTTTTACCTAAGTGTTGATCGACGAACGACGCGTTCGAAAAACGGCGCTCAAGAATAACATTTCTGTAGACAGAAAATGTCAGCGGTGCAAAAAAAGAGACTCACCGTTAGGTGTTGAAACAGCCACGCCCTGAGGATGTTTGTCGCGACCTTGGGAAAGATGCCCCTCTTCTTCTGGTTCTTCTTACCCGACGAGTCATCGTCTTCTTCTCCCGTACCTTCACCACTACCGATACTTGCATTACTTGCATCACCTGAAACATAAAATAAATATTTTCTTGCATATTATTTTTAATATAGACAGGAGAAACATTTAATTCACATCTTTAATTTGACATTTATAGGCAGTTTCCATCTTTAAAACATACCCGCAATCACCCTCGGACGTAACATTGTGACTCCCCCTCCTCTCTCTCTCTCTCTCTCTCTCTCTCTCTCTCTCTCTCTCTCTCTCTCTCTCTCTCTCTCTCTCTCTCTGTATATAAATAAGATGAACAATTTACCCTCATTCTTCCCTTCAACTGAGCATTAATTCGCCGTCATTTATCAATCTTAGCTCTTTAATTGCACACGAATCTCATTCTCCCGAGTCTTCCAATAAATACTAAGGAGTGATGAGAAAGGCTAATAAGAAATTCAAAGTCGTCTGAGTTTACGCACCTACGTGAGTCAAATGTAATTTTCTTGACTTTAATATTCTTGTTGTCAAGACAACAATGATCCATAAAGTCCGACAGGAAATAAGAGTATTTAAAAAATATTACCCTAACTACTATTATATTAAATTCACAAATAACAATTAAAGATATCTGTTCGATAATCTCTATGAACTTGATTTTCATTCTCTCTTGGATATCAGATTAAATTTTTGGGAATTGAGGAGCGTTATAAATGACAAATGTTATCGCGCGGTCCCTTTCCTCAGACCTTATCAAATCAAGTCACCTACTTCCCAGGGGTCTCAAGATGTCGGAGAACTCTATTATCTTCCCGTCCTAGTCTACCAAATGCACAAGAGCTTTTTGTTTTAAAAATTTTCAGATATACTATACCAAAATACAGTTATTCCCGGAATAAAACTTTTAAAACAATTTATCAACTCTTGAGTATATATTGTTGAAAATGTAATATTGTGAAAATCCATGTTGGTTTTTAGAAAAAGGACCTTTAATTTATTCTTTTATTCTAAGGTTATTTGCAGATGGCTGAGAATTTAATCTAAGAAATTAGGAAGGAAATATATCAAGACGGAGTAAGATTCTTGGCGTCATGGTTTTTCCAGGGCTTGTTTTCATCCGAGGGTTGAAAGCAGTTAGCGGCGGTGGTTGGCATGCGACAAAAACGACAGTTACATCCTCCCGTACTATTTCTTCATATCCCTATCCCTGCTGGTCTTCCAGAAACGGATAGAACGGTCGTTCATGTCTATAAAGCAATGGCGAAATGACCGACCAAAGTCCTCTGATTGCAGTTAATTTACTCGACGAATCAAGTTAATGTAGCGTACACACTTGTACCGAGTGGCGCCGCGCTACGAGCAGAAAATGTCATGCACTATTAGAGCTTGCAATACAACGTATCAAAATAAACTTTTTTCTTACATTCCAACTAATAGAATTAAGACAAAAAAAAAGTTTAATTTGTCTGTACTACTTATATAAAAATTAGTTATAAACTAAATCTATTTTCTAGTTTAAAACTTAAGAGATTTCAACTTAAGTCTAATTTTTTATTGTGCTAAATTAGCAGCAAATAAAAAATATTCGTCAGTTGTCGATTGGAAGTGGAGTCTTATAAAAAAGGTTACTGTCATAATGCAAATTATTTTTAGTACTTTTTCATTATTTCTGCATTCTAATGAATCCGACTTTTGATTTCCATCACACACGATTTTGACAATCCATTTGCCAGTAAAATGAGTCTGTGAAAGAGAGGGTGGTTCAGCGCCATATCATTTTAGTGTTGATTTACACAGCGTCCAGCGCTTTTTTTTACTGTTCTGTTATTGAGATTTAAGTGCAGTCAATTATGCGTTTATGCGCTTGTACCCCAAACTTCATATCCTCGCCTTCTCTCATGATGCTCTCTGTTGGGTGAACTCGTTTTAATATCATCTCTATCTCTCTCCACCCTATTTGATGAAATCTGCAATTCCAATGAAAGAGTCCATTGCCTTTTTGTGATTCAGATAACTTTAGTTGAGTGATTTGAGAAAAGCGAATGAACTAAGATGACGTTTTGCTATTTTGGGACTTCCTAAACCATCTTGCTGTTGTTGGGTTATTAGTTGAAAAATCTATATTCAATTTAATGTACAAGTATCTAAAGCAATATACAAACACAATCTGGTAGTCTAGTGTAATAAATGTAATAATATTGGTAATACATGTAATATTAGCGTAATTCGGTGTCAAGTGTACACCTTTTTAACCCATCAACGCCATCAATTAGTAAACTCCCTCTCGTTGAAATTTAAGATGCAATATGTACCTTAGATTTAGCATATACAAATATACAGACTCAATTTTTCGAGCAATGTTCATTTCTTTAATCTTTAAAATTTATTTAAAATTAAAATAATTTATAATTCTTTAACGAATTTGTTATTTATGCCAAAATAGCATTTTCTAAAGAGGCAAATTTTTTAAAAAAATATTTTAATTGCCAGAATTTCATTGCAAGTATTTATAGATTAGCTATTTTAAATATGCAATTACGAACATTTCTGCAGTACTAAGTAAACTGAGTTTATATTTAAATGAAAGAAAGTATTATATGTATTTTATTGGATAAACCTTATTTTGTAAATAAATTGAGTAAATTGCAATTTTCAATTTTGTAACATCATTTTAATTTCTTATCTGTAGTGACTAAAAATTAATAGGCTAAAAAGTCTGAATCCTGCTGCTATAGATACCAGATGTTTCAGTAATTTAAGCTCTGCATCTCCAACTATAATTTTTCAAATAAATGTTTACGCATTGAGACGATATTTTTAAGGAAATATAGTTCTTAAAACTGTACAAGACAGTTATTTCTGGGACGCGGCTGCTCATACGTCAAAGCGTCACGTACCGAGGCAGACGCTTACATACATCGGCGACTGGTTATCTCGTCGAACCGAGACATCTTCCTCGTCGGAGAGTGGCCGTTCTAGCTTCTATTTAGGGCCCGACTTGGGCGCTCGTGCCACCGTCGAAATAACTGCACATATGGCAGCCGAAAATAAACCTCCTTATTCCCTTCTCGTTGATTCCCCCGACGGCGACGACTACGACGACGTCGGTTCTTCTTGCGATGAAGCTTAGTCTCCATTCCATTCTTGCACTCGACGTTAACACGCGTTGGTTTATCAGAGAGTAAGCTCAAAACAGATGGTAGGGCCAACATTAATCTTTGCATCTTGTAGCAACTTCCAAAGTTTGTGCATTTTTATTTCAGATTACGATCTAAATTTGGTTTTATAATATTTTCCTCTTCCGCAACTAGACTTTCTATTAAAACTTATTGTTGTAGTCACAAATGTTGTATGACACTGGCAATGTCAAAAAGAGTGTATTACAATGACGGAAAAGCAACTTTCTTAAGAAACCATAATTTTTTTCAAGATTTCTTAACAGATTATTTGTCATAAGATTATTTATTTATACGAGAATATTTTCGTTTATTAAAAGATCAGAGGGAATGAAGATAGAATAAAAGATGTCAAACGACAGAACAAGATGAGTCACGATACATATCAGAAAGGACTGGTATAATAAAGATCTGACATCAAAGGCAATTTTGCGGTTTTCGCCTCGACGTCGCATTTACATTGAATAGGATCCGGAAGAAGATCGGCAAAGAACTCCGCATTCCGCCGACGACTGACGTCGACGAGGCGCAACCGTGCGACGACGAACTGGAATTAAGTGCGCTCACTTAAAATGTACGTCATACGGTGCGGCGTCGAGGACTCGAATGCCCCTGGGAGACAGCTAATGTTTTCGCATACTTTGAATCGAGGGAGGGTCATTGCACCAAAACACGCGTTTTGGCTCGTAGTTCGAACTCCCTCATTTCAAGAAAGAGAGACAGAGAAAAGCATCTTCGGCAATTGCGTCGACTATTTTTGGCAGTGAGGCAACGAAAGTGCTCACAAGCTTTCTGAGACTCGTCTCCATTTCATTCAAATTGTTTTATTCATCTGAATAATATGAAAGCGTCTATTTAAGAAGAAAATATATTTCCTACAGTAGAAACGTTAATCTCGTTTAAAAATCAAGATGAAGTCACTCAATGATGTAATTAAAGTCATGTGTCTTTAATTGGACATCGCAAGAGGAACTTTTGAATTTTGCAGATACGTTTTCTGCTGGTTTGATTCGAGACCTAGTTAGTGAAAAGATTAATTGTCGATTGTGGGTGAGATGAGGCACGATGAGCAGTCGTCTTTATATGCAGACACTCGAAATCCAAGAGAGAGATGCAGGAAGAGAAGATGAAACTGTGCACACTGTGTTGCACAGGAAGAGAGACAGAGAGGCAATGAGGAGTTTGTCTTACAAATGAGCCGCGCGACGCAGATGATTTAGTACACGGCATGCATGCGTTAACCTTTGCTGTAACTGACGAAGCGTGGGTGGCTAGTTACACTTTAGTTATTAGCCTTCCCTGTTCACTATATCTTTACTCGGTCAATGAACAATAAATACCAAACCCGCACACTCTCTGCCGTTTAATTTCCTACTTGTGTACTCGCTTTGTCAAAGCAATCTCTCACTCCCATATTTGTGCACCGCGATTATCAAACTCATCTGCCAGAGCTTTCTTTACTTTCTCAAGTTGTTTCCAAGGCAAACGTTAATATAATAATCGAGGACTGTACCCAATATATGATTTCCATTTCATTCATTGTTTAATTATAGGACAAAATTCATTTAAGAATCCGACGACGATTTAATTTCTCGACTACAGCCATAATGGAGATAGAAATAATTGAAAAGTGTAGATAAGAAATATTTGCATTACTCAATAGTTACAAGTTTAAATCAATTGTAAACAAAATCTGATATGTGCTTTATGACGATAAAGAACAATGAATGATGGACATAAAGTGAGTTCATGCGGATTTTCGTAATCTCAGTGTAACAAAAAATGTCGCCACGAAGAAAAAAAGAAATATATATCGGAATAAAGAAAGAAGAGAAGTAAAGCTCGGATGAAACCAATGAGTTATGGAAGTCATACGGATTAGCTGATAGCATCAAGGCAT